CTGGTCTAAAACATTCTCTCTAACTCATCCTCACAACCACAGTTTCACTCCTTTTACATACGTTTTTCACTGAATTGTAGACACATCTGTGCTCTTCCTGACAGTAGAACTGTGGAAGCAAATGGATTCACAGAAGATGCACAGTGAGATGCAGAATGACACAAGTGCCAAACAACTGCCACATTGACTCCTATGTAAACAGTATTAGGCAGGTGGTCATCATGTTATGGTTAATTAAATCATCAGATCTGTACCTCCCATAATATTACAATAACAAACCACCATCCAGTAAATCCATCTCCCAGTCGACCCTCAGCTAACACGTTGTTCTCCTACTAATATTAGCACCATTTACAGTGTAACCTGTTCTACAGAGACAGCTGAGCAAATGAAGTGAAGTGACTCTAGTACATGCAGTGAGCTTCATTTGCTCACTGCATGTACTAGTACCACGCACATAATGTAATATTTGTACATCTGCAGTGGCATTAAGCATGTAGACAGGTCAAGTCTTTGTGAATTATTTGGCTTCATTCAGTGACTGTTACTGTTGGCTAATGAGGTGGAAGACATAAACCGTGCATTGACAGTGCTGCTGCCACTGAACATTTGTTGAGTGTTGAATTCATACATTGATACATTTAAAAATCAGTTATAAGTGTATTACTCAACTTTGCCTTTTCAAATCTAAATGTATTGATTTATTAAAAGTCTGTACCGACATTGATGGATCAGCTTGTCTGTGTCACCTGCTGGTGTGACCAGGTCACCACAAGATGTGGGCATCTGCCAGTCTGAAAAGGTTAAGAGCCTATATCCAGTTGCATTATGGGAAGTGTAGGATCCAGTGTTTTTGAGACAGATCAGTACTAAAAACTACAACTCAGGATCTCTCAGTCTCTGCGTGTCCTCTGTTATTTATCTTTCTGCCCCTAATGTAGGTGCAGTACATACACATAAATAGTGACCAGTTTTATCTTTGATCCAGCATGTAAGGAAGTGTATTTACAATAATGGGGCTAGTAGTATTTTGAGATTTCCCATTTTTCTTCTTTCAATTATTCATCAAGCCCTGTAAAATATTGTTCCAATCATAATGAATTAGAGGTGGCCTCTTATTTAGGAGGAGGCGACACTGGTGCAGTGGGTAGAGCAGCCGTCTCCCAACCGGAAGGTTGAAGGTTTCGACTCTCGGTTCCTCCAGTCCACATGTCGAAGTGTCCTTAGGCAAAACACTGAACCCCCCCGTTGCCCGTGATGGTGGTGCGTATGCACGCAGCGGCCCTCGGCTCCAAACATAATTTCGTTGTACGTGTTACAATGACAATAAATAAAGCTTCTTCTTCATGACATTACCTGCAGAGACACTTGAAAATAACGTGTGTTATTGCTCTTTATGCAGCTGGCTCACTGTGTGTGAGGGGAGGAGAGTGATTAGTCATGTTAGATATATTTAAACACTTAGCTGAATATTCTGAAACACAGCCACAGCTAGCGCAGCAATGTCACTGTTCCGTTGCCCCTCCACCTGCATTACGTGTGGCCTTTGCTGGGGGGGAGGGGGGTGTTCAGCCCCCTGTTCTCAGAGTCGAGTGAGGGAGCCTGTCTTCACACACAACTTGAAACACTGCTGAAGACATCCACTGCCCTTTCACCTCTGGCCCTTTATTGCTCACTTGCTGTGTCCTGTGGGTGGATCAGCCTTCTCCAGCATCTGTAGAGTCTGCCGGACTCCCTTCTCCACCCTGCGGAAGGGAAGCCTCTTCCAGAAGTGTTGCTGCTGGCGCCCCGACTCCAGATCCCTGAGGAAGATCTGCACAAAAGGGGACTGGGTGAGTGACATGCTCCTTACAGTGGAACTCTTTTCCTATTCTCCTAAACCTCTCTCACCTTCTTCTTCTGTCAGGTTTGTTCATACAAGTGCTACAAGTCAGACTCCCCGAGCTCTCCTAACTGCACAGACATGCTGTAACCTGAAGCTGTATACAAACGATATTTGATTGAGCTGTGTGTGATGTGTCTAACGCTAAGTGTTTTAGGTTTTACTGCTGCTGGTCTTCTGTTTCACTTCTTTTTGCTGTGATTGATGGTTTTGTGATGGGGGCAAATAAAGTACAGTGGAACCTCGGTTTTCGTATGCCCTACTTTTCGTATGATTCGGTTTTTGACGACTTTTTTCGTCGAAATTTTGTCCCAGTTTTCGTACATCCGCTTGGTCGGTTCAGCGTCACTGGTCCATACCAAACTCGTCTGCCTTCCCCTGTGACTCAGCCACTCATTTCCCGGAATCGAGCACCCACACAAAGCATCCCATGCGTTCGAGACTCAGTCTGCCATTGTTTTTTTGTGCTTGTTGTGACTGCTAAATAAACCACCATAGGGACAAAGATAACCCCGGATAGGGCCTTGATACATGAAGTCCTTATGGAGGGGGATTCCCCTTCCAAACAGTAACCTCTCCTCCTCCCTCTCCCTCTCCCCTCCTCACCGTCTTCCATACGCCAACAAGAGTCTTCAATAAAGGTAAAAGTGATGTTAAATGTTCATTTATCCATTTCATTAGTCATTTATATTTATTTCTCATTGTTTTCTGTATGTAAAAATATAGTTATTCTCTATAAAATGTATTTTTTAATGTTTTTGGGTGTCTGGAATGGATTAATTGGATTTACATTATTTCTTATGGGAAATATTGCTTCAGTTTTCATACATTCGGTTTTCGTCTGACTTTTTTGAACAGATTAATCACGAAAACCGAGGTTCCACTGTACATTTTGAGGTTAATATGAGAAGAGATCATGTGACAGGTTCTGTAAGTGCATACCTTAAGCTGCTGCTTAAGACGTTGGCGGTCCCAGGATGAGGCATTCTGTCGTATCACACTGAGGATGGGGTGCCAGTCCTCTGAGATCTCTGATCCTTCAGTGACTGAAGCCAGCACCTTGACCCGCCGGCCGCTGCCACCCTGACTCTTAGGAACACCTCGGACATAGAGGGACTGCTTCCCCACGTCGCTGAGAGGGTTCAGATATAAGCTGCACAAGGGCACAGGCACTGCATGAACACAGAAATAAACTAAAGCATGGCTTACATGTGTGACAACTAACATACACTGAGGGATGCCTTCAACGTCTGTCCACGTGTGTTTTACACAAGCTGAGCCTGAGCTTTTCATCAGTCTTCATACTCAGTATCCTTGGGCTGGTTTGTCAGCAGATGTGAACTGATTTTAAAATGCTAAGGGCAACTTTCCAGGGTCATGTAGGAGAAAGCAGCTTTAAAACCCTTAGGCATGTCCCCCTATACTACAACCAGTGACAAATATTACTTTGTTAAATGTTCATATATAAGCTTTATATACACACATACTTATTTATCACTTATCACATATATATTTATTATACAGTGTTTATCCTAAATATATCCTGAGGTAGTAATATTATACATAAAGCAACAGTGTATTTATGTTTTTGTCTACCTGCATATGCAGACGTTCTCCAGCAGGAACTCACATCTACATTTTAACAGCCACTTCAAGACAATCACTGAATCAGAGAGTGGAGCATCAGATCAGTGCATCTGACACCTTGTGATGACCGCCTTCCTCTGGCAGGAAACACTTGTATACAGCTCAAATGAAACGTCCTTTTTTAAAATACTCCTTTTGTCTCACCTGTGGATGCCACTGTTGGTCAGCCTATCGGTTTAGAGGCTGTCAGTTAATGTCTGGGAGGGAAACTGTGCGGAGCAGAGCAGATCATTTATAAAACTGCACAAGATCCTTGCTAAAAGTGTACCTGTGCCCAAAAGCCAAAGATGGCATACGCCACAAAAATATTCAGGCATCAAACCGTGTGTATGCACACCTATAAGCAATGTTCCCTCTATAAATCATATATAACCTAGAATTTTGTGCATGTGAGTTACCCGCCCTGTATGCGTCCATTTGTCCCCTTGTCTCCAGAATGTGCATACGCATGGGTCAGAGTTTACTCGCACGTGCACAGATTCTCCCATCAAGTTTGGTTTTTATAGATCACAAGCTGTGCATGGGAAGTGATGTACGCCACTTTCAGGCCCCGATTGTTGCGTACTCCATGAATGAAATCCCTGGTGTGCAGGAGATGCCGGTCAGCGCAAAAGCTCATTAATCAATAAATAAAAAGTGAAGTCACACAGATCACACAGAAAACTTTACTTTGCTCTGTGTGAGGAAATGCATTCACCTACTGTCAGCAGCAGAACACTGGAGCAGAACATTGGCTGTCTGGGTGTGGTTTGTTATGTGGGCCCCCAAATGACCTGATAGGTGTTATTCTTATTCACTGGGCTATTGGAGCTCCAAAGCCATTCGAGTTAAAGGAATTTAAGATGGGGGAGAAATTAATTAACTATATTTTCACTGGTAACTAAAATGGGGGTGAACTGAACTGAACTATGGGGCATGAGAAAAGAAAACCTGGAGTGGATTTTCTGAGTTTGGACCATGTCTTAAGTTTGCTGAACTGCTTTATAAACTGGGTTTGGACTTGTTTCATTTTGAAACATGTATGGTTGTCTTTGTTGGACTGATACATTTGTGTTCATTCACTGTGGGTCAGAGACTGTGTAAAGTGTTTTCTTTTTCCTGCATAAAGCTACGTCCTTTGTGACGTTTGGCACAAACTAAACAAAATTAAAATCGTCAGCTGGCACCCCTAAACAAAAGGGTCTGGGTCTGGTTTACTGTTCCAAGGATGAGAACAAACATGATAAGACAGCATATAGCTTCTGCATTACACATCAGGAATAAGCCTCCAGACAAAAAGGACTGCTACAGCTGTTAACTCCAGCCTAAAGGTCTTTCTCCCAAAAAGTGCTTTTAGTAAAGTTTGGAGTATTTATTTCTATGTTGTACCTACACTGAAACTAAAATTTTAGTTGTAATTTGTCATACGACAAAGGTCTGTTAGACATCTCTCAAAATAAGCGGTAACATCATCTCTGAGAGTGACAGACCCAAAGTCTGTGGTATTTTAAATGAAATAACATAAATGCATACAACTGTTGATGAAGTAAAGAGCTGCTTACTGCACAGTGTGAATGTTGGGGTGCTCTCTGCAGGCGTCCACCAGAGCCAAAGCAGCACTGTCTCCGATGTTGTTGTAGGCCACATTGAGCTCCTGGAGCCCCGTGTTCTTCTGGAGACTCTCAGCCAGCTCCAGCGCCATCTGGTCCCCCAGCCCAGTGTGCATCAGGGACAGGTGCGTCAGCGACTCGTTCGCTGGCAGGGCCTCCAGCAAGGTGGAGACTCCAGCATCCAGCAGAGGGTTGTCACACAGTCTGGAGGACACATTGGAATAATGAGACTTATCTAGTCTTCTACTCAGAAAACACTGTACATCCAAAATCTGACATCAACCAAGGACCTGATGGCATGAACAAAGACTGACCTCCAATAAGTAGTCAGAAAAAATAAGTCTTCTTCCATAGTGAGAGGGACTCATGATGGGCTGAACCAAGAGCAACCATGACCATTTAAAACATGCTGTCACAGCACATGTTGGCAGGTGACAGGAGTGTGGGTTCACAGTAAAAGTCATCGGTGAAGACACCTGCAGCTCTTCATCAAACAGCGGCAGTTCATTTCTTTATAATATATTCAAACCTGACACAGTGTTGGATATGTCCATGTCTTCTTGTTTGACCTAGTTTGGTCACTCTGGCCCAGGTGGAATTAACAATATGTTTGTGTTTTCTCACTAGAATACCAGCCATTATAAAGCTGCAAGGAACATACAGCATGTAATGAATTAAAATTTGCACATTCCAAATTAAAAGACAGCTACACAGTAAAGAGAAGATTCCTTATGACACACAGTCTAAAAACAAAGTCTTACTGTAGAGATCTAATACAGCTCGTGGGGTCTAGTAGCAGATCTCTCAGGACGACGCAGGACTCGGGACCCAGGCTGTTAAACTGCAGACTGTGGACAACAGAGACAATCACAACACACACAGCATACACATGTTAGATGAGCATGGGTCTCTTTCAATCAGTGAAGTGCATTTAAAAACACTGGCTCTGTGTTTAATACTGTGATGTAGCCCAGGAAACACTCATGGTCTGGATCACTCTTAAAATAATATGACTGGTCTTCTTTCATATATACAGATACAGTGGTTCACATCCCTTCACATCCTGGACACTTTATTGTGTCAGAGTTCATTATAAATTCATGAAATTGCCATTTTTAGCCATCAGTCTACATTCAATAACCCACAATGACAAAGTGAAAACATTCTATCCGTTCACCTGCTTCTTGTTCTTATTCAGAATTTTTTTTTTTAATTATCAGACTGTCTGATTTAGTGCTTAGTACAGATTAAATAATCATAGCGGGTGACTAATATTCATGTAGATGCTGACAACAGTGCATTCTGTTCATTATTAGACTCAATTGGCTTTTCTCAAACTGTAAATAAACCGACTCACTGTTTTAATGCCACCCTTGATCTTGTTCTGACATATGGCATTGAAACTGAACACTTAACAGTCATAAAGTATCTGTGTCTGTGGTATAACTACGGAGAGGCATAGATGAAGACAAAAGGTATAAAACTATTTCTACGGCACCGTGACCTCAATAACTGAGAAGGTGAAGAAATCTAGAACCAACAGGACTCCTCCTAGAGTTGACCGTCTGACCAAACCAAGTAACTAGGCAACATGGGCCTTGGTCAGGGGGGTGATCAACAACCCAACCCTTCAATAAACTGGTGACCTGTCCAGGGTGGACAAAAGAGACTTTAGGACAAGTCTCTGACTCTCCCTGAGGACCCCAGCCCCAGTTTAAACCCCACAGAACGTAGTTCACAGACACTTCCATTGAATTTGAGGGAGAGAGAGAGGATCTGCCAGGAAGAACGGGATAAACTGCCCAAGTCCAGGTGTGCAAAGCTTGTAGAGACAAGCAAGATGAAGCTGTAACTGCTGCCAACGGGGCTTCTACAAGGTGCTGAATTAAGGTCTTATTACTTTTATAAATGAGATTTCAGTTTTTTAATAGTAAAGTTGCAAAAATAGCTAAAATATATTTTCCCCTTGTCATTATACTGTAGGTATGTGAGTACAGACTGATGGGCAAAAATGGTTATTTTATCCATCTACATTTGCTCTTTTAACTTGTATTTATTGTGTTTTTAGTGCTGTGCACATTGAGGGCCATAGGGCTGGAGTCAAATTCCTTGTATTTTTGATAATACCTGGCAATAAGGTTTATGGTTACAATTAAATCTACAACAGCTACAAAAATTGTAATGGTCTGAATACTTTATGAAGCCACTGTATATTTTATTGTCAACAAGTCTCATTGTGCAGACCTAAACCAACACTGTGTTAGTGCACCTCCCCATACTTAGACTTTTGCCTTCCCCTTTCCATTTTCTTTTCTATCTATAAGGCTAGGCTAAATAACATGAACAGTTCTCTATATATTGCAGTACCGATCATCAGCAGCACAAACTACAACCTCCAAAATGATCATACACTTGAATCAACGCATCTGTGAAACAGTCTGAACACAAACTGAGCCGATTTATTATAGGATTGTTGGATCAGACGTTTTGTAACAGAATAGGACATGACTACTTCCTCTACTGCTGGTGCCAACATGCAAACTAACATGCTTTACCTATATAACATGTTATAGTTATATGCTGTATTTTTAATCATCTTTATAACTTTATTCTTTAGGGTCAATCTGGTGCTGCAATCCAGCTCAGTCAACTGGCACAGTCACTTGCAATAAAGAGAGCCCTTTACCCCCAATATTTCTGAGCGTCACTGTAGTTGATAATAACAGTAATTGTGCAATATTGTATACGTATACTTTACCATTCCATTACTATATCTAATATAGGTGATTTCAGCTTATAACAGATAAATCATACTGGTGTCTGATAAGTAATAAGACATGTCAGAGAAATGCCACAAATATTTCAGAGGTGTCTCTGTGATGGCACAGCGCTCTCACAAAATGATGTTTACACTGTAAAATGTTCTGCTCAGTAGATATTTTGGTCATAATTATGTAAGGGACAGATGTGTAAGACTCAAACATCCAGTAGCACTGTACCAGTGAAGCAACACATCATTCTCTGGTACATCTTCATAAAGTCAAGATCAACTACTCTGTGGTTTTCAGAAATAACACTGAGGAAGTCCTAAGTGGTGAGTGTAATAAGTTATAGGGATGGATTATGTACTTAATATTTTATTTTGTGTAATGTGAAACAGAAACATCTAACTTCTGGAGTAGCAGTACAATGTTTGGCACCATGCAAAAACACAGCTTTCCCTTTAGAGCTGCTCCTTTACTATTCTATCTTCACTGCAAAGCATAGGAGAACAAATATTGAGCTTGTCTCACTTGATGTTACGTGCATGTCTGAAAGCAGGCCTCAGGAGCTGAAGCATGTCATTAGTCAGGAGACAGGAGGACAGGTCCAGCTTTTCAAGGTGATAACTACAGAAGGACACCAGAACACAGGTTTAAACATACGGTACGTGTCACACTGACCAACTCCAATTTCACTAGAATATCTGCTAAGCAATTCAAAACTGTACAAGCCAGTGTCATGTTAATAGCTGTTCTTGGCACCAGTGTATCAGTACTTGTTTTACTCACAGCACAAACACTAACATGTTGATGTTTAGCAGGTTTAATGTTTGTCATGTTCATCATCACTGTTAGCATTTGCTAATCAGCAGAAAACACAAAGCAGAAGAGGTCGCTAGTTTTTCAGGTTTTTTTTTTCCCCCCTACACAAAAATGTAAATGCTAAAGTGTAATAATGATGATGATGATGATGATGGCACTAGATGTAGAGTCTGACTGTATTGTCTGTGGCAGTTCATTCAATAGTAACCCAGCTGCCAGGCAGATGTGACTGTCCTTCAACCACTGACTTAGTAATACTAGAGAAACTTAGAAGAATCAGTTCCACTGGTTTCTGCACAATCAAATATTTTCAAGGATCCAGCATCCACTGGTTATTAGTAGTCCATCAGGAACTGAAGCTTTGCTGAGGTGGTCAAAACTCAACCACAAGTTTGTTTACCTTGCTGGGGTGCATGAGAGCACTGAGCTCAGTATGAAGCATTTGAGCGATGTCATACGAATGTTGGCGAGAGGGATGGCTCTGATTGTGGCCACAACTTCTGCAGTCAGTCTGGGGTTCTGAAACTCGAACAGAAGGAGCAGCAGATCCATGAGCTCCTCTGGTGGCTGTGGCTTGCTGAGCTCTAGCATTAAATAAGAAAGAAATCATTAACCATACTGCTTGTCTAAAGCTGAATTAACATTAGTGTACCTGAGAAGCACAAACATTTTTTTCACTCTCTGGCTCAGGCAGGGCCCACACCAAGATGGAGATTACTCTTGGTCTTCAATCTTGGGGCCACCCATGCTTTCTTTTTGAGATTGGGTGTGACCCAACTCACACTACCCAGTTACAAGGAAATTTACAATCATGGAGCAGCTTGTCTTTTGGATACTCATTGGTGACCTCATCCTATGAATGCAGTGATTTTTGCAGTGGAGGAAGAAAAGACCAGACTGAGCTCCCATTTTGAAGATGGACTTAAGTCCAGTCTGTGTTAACTATATGGGTGTCAAGACTCCAGAGCTCAGTTTAAAATGCTGGGTCTAAATGGACTGTAATTTTATGATTTTTCAAGGTTTACTCAAACATTATTTCAAGATATTTTAAGTTTGAAGCACAACTTACTTATCAGTACATCAAATACTATCTAAAGTAAATACTAAACTAAGGTAACAACAGATTTAAAAGGACATATCTGTTACCTCTGACAAGGTACTTCCTAAGGACATGTGTGATCTGTGCCACAGTGGTGCTCTGAATGCTGCAGCCCACTTGCTGGAGAAGGACACGGTTCCCATAATGCAACAGTCCACCCATGAAGATGGGGTAGAGCTCAAAAGGCTTATCCTCACTGTATTGCTTTGGCTGAGGGCCATGGACTCCCAGGAGGCTTTGCTCCATCTGATCCAGGACATCCTCGTTGTAGCTATCCTCTGTGCGGAACAGCTCAGCTGCCATTTTTCTCGCTATGCTGCCTTTGTTGTAGCTGCTGATTTTCTCATAGAGCTTTGGGAAAAGCTTGAGGAGGTTGAATATAGCAAAGATCCGAAGAGGGATTAACTTAGAGAAGATGTTGATGAGGGCATTGACATCCTCACTGGCCTGACCAATGGCCACAGACACCTGACTGGTCAGCTTCTCCAGAGCTGATTTGTTCTCTCCTAGAACCACATAGAGAGCCGCCAAGTACTCCTGCATGGCTGGGACAGTAAATACGTACCGCCTCTGGTCACCCTCATTGAGTGCCTCTGGTAAATTCTTACCACTTTCTACACAGGGAGCCAAGAAGAAATCTAGCACGTCAGTCCGGAACATGACCAGCTGACGCAGCTCCTCGTCTGTCTTGGTCTTCCCTCCTATCCACTGCTCCAGTTCCTTCTCTGAAAACGATGTGCGTTTGTATGTCACACCATCGAATGCCAGTTTACCAACTGTACGCACTATATACAACATCAGAGAACTCTGGTGCTCCTGAATGGGCACATTCGTCCCCGTTCCTGTGCCCAACACCTCACCCCCAAAGTTGAGCCTGAGGAAACTAGTGTGTATGCCAGTCAGTGTGCGGATGGGCGCATTGGCATCGGTGAAATGAAGGAAGTGTAAGGTAGCACATGTAAGCCAGCAGTAGGAGGGGAGGAAGCAGGCTGCAGCTAGCTGACTTTCTCTCCGGAGGTTGAGGTAAAGCAGCTCTATAAGAGCCTGGGCCTCATGATATTGTGCACTTTCCCGACTCTGCTGCAGCAGGCGGCTGGTGAAGTACGCCCGCTGGCGGTCAGGGTCATTGAAGCCAAAAATCTGTGCATAGCGACTCACATACTTCTGAGGGATACGGTCCAGGGCAGACATTCTGGTGGTAACCAAGATGCTAGCCTGGGAAACATACAGCAGACAATAACCAACCCACCAATAAAATAAACAGTTTCCAAGTGAACAAGAATTCTGAGGCAATATTTTTGATTAGTTAGGTTACTTTTGCAAACTCTCAGACTGGTTGTGTCTCAGTTACTTTTATAGATTTTGCCTGGGGAGGAACCCAGCATGTCTCTGAAGAACAAATTAAGTTTGACCACTAATAATAGCCAGGCAAAAAACTACCCGTGCTACAAAGGCTTACATGGTAAATGCTATAGAATTCCATCATTACAACAGTCATACTCAAAACTTTGAGAGTACTTAGCCTTTTTAACAGAAATTCTGCTTTCATTTACTGTTACGGTACTCACTTCTTTCTGACCCTATAAAATGTGCCCATAACACAGAGTATCACAAACTACTGAGGGCTGAAAGCTGACATCAAATTTCTGGTAAGATTTCTAATCTTGTTTTATAGATTTGTAGTGAACACACATCCCAAGGAAAATTCTAACTCCGGTGCTTGAGCAAAAATGTTACTCAAGTCAAAAAGATGCACATGCCCCCTGTGCTAGTTTATTAGGCCAACACAAATAGGACAGAATCATCACTGACTTCCTCATTGTCAGACCTGCTCCTCTACACATAGAAAACACTTGATAGTTTTCTGTTATCTAATTTCATTCATTCAATGTATTCTTTTTGGTTCCTTTGGATTATCAATCAGAAGAATCTCAATCAGTACTGGTCCTTCTGTCCTTTAGCATTAGTCAACAGATGACAATCAGACCCAGTTATTAGAGAAACAGAAGCAAAAAGATTTAGAACAGTGCAGTGATGTTGGACTGTTGTTTACCTCAGGCAGAAGATACTTCCTCAGCAGGTTCACCACCACCACATTTGGAGGCAGTGCCTCATTAGGATCACTGCAGAGCTCTGTGGATCCAATATGAAAGTCCAGATTCATCTTCTCCATCCCATTGAAGAGGAAGAGCACATCCCTGGCCTGGTTTCCCTCCCCACTCAGCAGCGGGTGTTTCCTTAGGTGGAGGTACTTCCTGCCTACCAGGTCCCTTAAGGAAGCCACCCTACAGTATGTGGGAGGGGAGTAGGTGTTACTTGGGGGACTCGGTCACCAACGTGGAAGCAGCAATCATTATGTAACTGACCATACCCATGGAACTGGAGTCGTACACTCACTGACTGACACAAATAAAATTCAACCAGAGCAACCAGAGCGCATTTTAAATTCTGACAAAATTCTCACGAGAAGATATTAACTGTAGTTTATTGTGTAATACTGTATCTGTGACGAGAAAAGTGTGGATCTAGATATTTGAAAAGCCCTTCTTCAATTGTAGCACTGGTGCACACATCTTCATGTCAAATACAAAATTTTAACTTTGTTTTCAAAACAGACGTCTCTTTCACACCAGAGACGTTTGCATGGTCTCTTCGAGGTGTGTTCCACCTGTGCTGGACATGTAAGACAGACTTCTTTCTTTCTTTCTTCTCTACTTTTAAAAGTGTTGATAAGATTAGGTTTAATATCTGGGTGCTGGTTTCTATCCCTGGTAGATGTTTTATTTCCTTTTAGTATCTTTTTCATCCAATACTTTCTTCACATGCTCTAACGTGCTTTGGAGCCACATGCTCGGGTGTTTTTTGCCTTTATTAGGCATTAAAGTAAGTCATGAGAGGTGGACAGGAAACGGGGGAAACAGATGAGCAGACCGTGACAAAGAATGGCAGTCGGATTTGAGCAGCCACCATTGTGCACACACTGTGCCTGGTATATTGGGGTGCCATACTTTGAAAATATTCATTTCTTGCAAAAACAAACATGAAAGGTGTTTTTAGTCAACCGAGGTTTAACAATGTGCATGATTACAATTACTCTCATACGCTAGTAGAAAATGAATTGAAAATTATTAGCTGTAAACTTTTAAGAACAAACAACAGTAAAAGGTCAGAGAATGAGAAACTGGAATCACAAGCTGAAGTCCTAGCTCAATCTAAATGGAGTCACCTTTATAAATCTTTAGCTGACAATGATATCTCACGTGCAACCCAGAATAAGAGAAAGATATCTTACTTGGACATCTGACTGAGGTCCTCACACGAAAAGGGTACCAGCAGCTTGAAGTGTGTCAGGGTGGTCCCACTGCACCAGTCCAGCACCAGCTTTCGAACCATCGTACTTTTGCCTGTTCCCACAGACCCATACAGCAGCACATTGAGCCCCCGACCCTCATTCCCGGCATCAGTGGGCTCAAACAACTGTTCCACAGTCACAGAGGGGCTGGAGGGGATCTGGGTTTGGAGAAGGGAGCTGAGCAGTCCTCCCGTCTCCTCAGCCTTTCTTTCCAAGATTAGTGGATCCACATGCATGGTCTCTGGGCTGAAGTAACCTCCAAACTGTTTCTCCTCCCGAGGAAGGTGGCTGAACCACAAGAAGAGCTTCCTCTTGTAGATCTCTATGGGGTCTACGGTAAGAGAAAATTACCACCTAATTAAAATGTGTTCCCTGACACTGTTAAAAAGCTGAGCTGAACTCTAGCATCCTAGTTTATCAGTTCTAGATATACAAAGCACTTGTGTGAGATGCATTCAAACAGGGTCTGACTTCCCTGACATAAGTCAGGTTCCAAAAACACTGGATCCTGCATTTTCCATAATGCAGCTCAATAGCTTCTCGTAATCAGGTGTGAACTGCCTGGTAAACACCTCCATCAAACTCTTCACCCCCAGTATGTAATGCCGTGTCTTCGTGATGCAGGAAAAAAAAACTACTTTACTTTTTGTGTACTGAAATTCCACTTATTTGTGAGAAACAGTATGTTATTATCCTTTATATCAGCAAACGAATACATCCTATCCAACACTAAAAACCCAGCTGTAACTAAGGATAATGAATGCTCTTACTGGCGCTACATCTACTGCAGTGACACAAGACCAAAAGTACTGCTGCTGCTTTTATTCATATTACTATTCATTATGAACTAGATCTACAACTACAAAATATACTCCTTTCACAAGCAGCAGCTGATTCCTGGAATATTTTCATCAGTGTATTGTTCACATCCAAGTTGTCCTTCCCACCTTTTTTTTAGTGAAATGCTGCCATCAACTGCTGGTCAGTGGAATAGCATGAAACTGTGTCACATCGCCCATTTGTTTGTGCACATACACACTAGAAACAAAACAGGGACCCACTTATCAAAGCACTGCTCTGTAGCACTACCTGAGGTCAAAAAGGAAGTATTGGTAGGTTGAACACAGAGTCAAGAACTCAGGGCAACGAAACCAGATCTGCTGTGTCGAGGCTTGGATCAATAATGGAACGTGACGTCACTGATGATGTGAGAGAGTAATAAAGGGTACAAGCTGTCAAAGTGACATGTGAAGAGCAGATTTATGACAGGGGATGACATCACTGCAGCTATAACTGCTTCTAATAACACTTCACACTTATACACTACGGTCACTTGTAGCACTGTCCTACGCCCTTTGTCTAATTGCTAAATCTCCAGTGAATCAAACTGTACAAAAATATTCTGCATTTCAACGATGTAGAAAGACTACCTTGCTGAACCTGTTGCCACTGCGACCCAATCTCGGATAAATGGAAGAAAATGGATGGATGGAGAAGCACCCGATTGCTCTATTTAAGAAAGCAGTACACTGGCATGATTGTCAAACTACAACAAAGCATCAAAATGAGTGCTGCACCTGATTCTGAAGTGGTGGTGGAGGAGCAGAAGGTTCTGCAGTGAAAGCCAGTGGCTGGGTAGAGGGAAACATCCGCCCTCATCGTCCATGTCCATACTGCCTGCAGCTGACTCAGCTGTCTGGAAAACATAATGTATCATTCAGATTACTTCAGTTGGCTCTGCAAACAACCTTTATAGGGGGTGAATCCACTGAGGCAAGCTGCAAAAGTTACTTTAACCCCACAGTCAAGAACTCACATTCCTCACAATGTGGGTTATTCAAACTGATCCTAGATCTGCCGCACATGGTGCTTTAACGGCAGAAAGCAGCTGCTACTCCGCTGTTTACAGGTTGAAGCAGGCATACTAACATAGTTCCAAAACGCTGACATGCAAATACACATGATTACACCCTGCAACTCAACCAGGAGTTGTCTAATGCTGTTCTGAGAACTGGTCCCACTGGTTACCGACAGCTTCTTGGTATGGCAGTGCACGGACTGAAGTGGGAGTGTCTCTTTATAACCAACTATACAACCCCTTGATGACAGAACCTCAAACTTGAACTTGTTAGCAACCAGATTTCCACACGCAGTAGTAATACATCAACATAGTCATTCATTGCGTTTGTGTCTACCTGATTAATCTCACTGTCTTTTAGCTCCGTCTTTAGTCTCCAACAACTCCTAAGACATCATTCGTCTCATTAACTGCTACAGTAAATGATCCACTATGTTCACCAACTGTTCCTGAGCAAGTAGTGTACAGTAGCTTTATTTTAAAGTGCAACTTTAAAATATCAAACGGTAGCCTACTTTAGCTATTATGCTGCCCACAGCTGGAACCAGCTTGCATTAAAAGTCAGATCTGCCCCAACTGTAGCCACTTTTGAAACTAAGCTAAAGACTGGTCGTTTTTCTGCTGCTTTTAATTAAGTGTTTATTAATACACAAGTACAAACCCCAATCCCAATGAAGTTGGGACATTGTGTAAAACGTAAATAAAAACAGAATACAATGTCTTGAAAATGCTTTTTGACCCATATTTAATTGAATACACCACAAAGACAAGATATTTAATGTTCAGACTAATAAACTTTATTGTTTTTTGCAAATATTCACTCATTTTAAATTTCATGCCTGCAACACGTTCCAAAAGAGCTGGGACAGGGATATTTTTACCACTGTGTTACATCACCTTTCCTTTTAACAACACTTAAGCGTTTGGGAACTGAGGACACTAATTGTTCAAGCTTTGTAGGTGGAATTCTTTCCCATTCTTGCTTGATGTGCAACTTCAGTTGTTCAACAGTCCGGGGTCTGCGTTGTCGTATTTTGCGCTTCATAATACGCCACACAAACTTTTCAGCAGTAATGGTGCCTTCATAAATGTGCAGGTTACCCATGGGCACTAACACACCCCCATACCATCACAGATGTTGGCTTTTGACCTTTGTGCTGATAACAATCTGGATGATCCTTTTCTTTTTTAACCCAGAGGACACAATGTCCATGATTTCCAAAAACAATTCAAAATGTGGACTCGTCAGACCACAGCACGCTTTGCCACTTTGCATCAGTCCATCTCAGATGAGCTCGGGCCCAGAGAAGCCGGTGGCGTTTCTGGGTGTTGTTGATGTATGGCTTTCCCTTTGCATGGTAGAGTTTTAACTTGCACTTGTAGATGTTGTGATGAACTGTGTTAACTGACAATGGTTTTCCAAAGTGTTCCTGAGCCCACGTGGTCATATCCTTTACAGAATGATGTCTGTTTTAAATGCAGTCCCGCCTGAGGGATCGAAAGTCACGGGCATTCAACATTGGTTTACGGCCTTGCTGCTTATGTGCAGAGATTTCACTGGATTCTCTGAATCTTTTGATGATATTATGGACTGTAGATGATGAAATACCTAAATTCCTTGCAACTGTACATTGAGAAACATTGTTCTTAAAGTTGTTCGCAGCTGTTCACAAAGTGGTGAACTGCGCCCCATCCTTGCTTGTGAATGACTGAGCCTTTTGGAATGATCATTTTATACCCAATCATGGCGCTCACCTGTTTCCAATAAACTTGTTCACATGTGGAATGTTCCAAACAGGTGTTTTTGAGCATTCCTCAACTTTCCCAGTCTTTTGTTGCCCCTGTCCCAGCTCTTTTGGAACGTGTTGCAGGCATCAAATTCAAAATGAGTGAATATTTGCAAAAAACAAAGTTTATCAGTTTGAATATTAAATATCTTGTCTTTGTGGTGTATTCAATTAAATATAGGTCAAAAAGGATTTGCAAGTCCATGTATTCTGTTTTTATTTATGTTTTACATAATGTCCCAACTTCACTGGAATTGGGGTTTGTATAATAACCATGGGACAATGCAGCCATCATATTGCTCAGGAAGGATACGTGTTCTGTCTGAGATTAACATACTTTTGTCTGAAAAGTACAAATCAATCCCAGAACAACAGCACTGGAAGAAACAGGTAACAAAGTATCTATATCCACAGTAAGACACTGCTTCAAGACCACTATAAAAAAAAGACAGACTACGGTTTGCAGCTGCACATGGGGACAAAGATCTTACTTTCTGGAGAAATGTCCTCTGGTCTGATAAAGCAAAAATGTAACTGTTTGGCCATAATGACCATCGTTATGTCTGGAGGAAAAAGGGGGAGACTTGCAAGCCAAAGAATTCCATCCCAACCGTGAATCACAGGAGTGGTAGCATCATGCTGTGGGGCACTTCCAAAAATAAATGGCATCATGAGGAAGAAAGATTATGTGGATATATTGAAGTAATGTCTCAAGACATCAGCCAGGAAGTTAAAGCTTGGTCACCAATGGGTTTTCCAAATGGACAGTGACCCTAAGCAGACTTCCAAAGTTGTGGCAATGTGGCTTAATGTCAAGGTATTGGAGTGGCCATGACAAAGCTCTGACCTCAGTCCAATAGAAACTTTGAGGGCAGAACTGAAAAAGTGTGTGCAAGCAAGGATGTCCACAAACCTGACTCTGTTCCACCAGAAATAAAAGCTGAAATCAATCTGTTTCTTCTACCACTATTCTGACATTTCACATTCTTAAAATAAAATAATGATCCTAACTGACTGAAGACAGGGAACATTTATAGGATTAAATGGCAGGAGTTGTGAAAAATGAATTGTAAATGTATTTGGCTAAGGTGTGTGTAAACTTCAGACTTCAACCGTAGGGATCTATTCATGCATGTTGCTGCTTGTACTGTCATGTAATTGTTGCTCTTAAGGAATGTTTAATGTTTTATCCATCTGTGTGCTCCTCATGACCATATAAGGGTGGCTAAATGTTAATATTGTGTGTATATAACACCAACATGAGCAATACAACAATGAGACCACTGGCTATATTTACTTTGGTAAAACAACTTTTCGTTACTCTTTTCTGTCTCCAAACAACAGCTTGGAAGAGTGGAGGTTAGTTTCTGCAATGCTGGATTACAGCTCAGTAACTTCTAATCCTTTCCTTGTACTGCAGATCATCAGAAACCCTGCTATCCTAAGAAGTGAGTATGGGTGAGTCATGTAGTTTGCTTCATTTTAATATCCACACAGTCAAGCTGGTGGAATCTGCAACCAGTGTATATGTAACAGCACTGCCACAACAACAGTACGCAGCCATTAATGAATAGGAGCAGCTGCAAGAGGAGCATCAAAGACTGGAATCCACACACATGTAGCTGGGAGGTAGCACAGCAAACCTGTTTAGCTGTGTTTACATCACCATTGCAGATCAGAGTAGTAACCTTTAGGTCATGCTGGAAGTAAACATCCCACCGCACCGAACATCAGGGCTGAGTGTGCACAGAAGTGTGGTCTGATGGATCTGTGACTACATCCAAACTCCATGTCATTGTGTACGTCACTTGATCATACGTCCCTAACGAACTCTGAGCTGTTAGCACAAACACAGCTCTGCCAAGTGAGTAAGATTATTGAAATAAGCAAAAATATTTGTCATCACAGACTCCCAAGTGTCTGACTACTGTGTTCAGAAGAAGCTACAAGATAAGTCACCAAACTGTGAAAGAGCTCTGACTCTAAGAAGGTACACAACATAACTGTTAAACAACTGTATCCCAAAATTGTGAGTCAATCACTGAACAGCAGGGTGTCATTTGAGCCTCGGTATCAGTCACCAACCTGTGTAGTGAGCGCATGCTTCTGTTCTGCTGCCTCTTCCTCTCTGGGAGCCTTCTGTGAACAACAGTTAGCATAGAAAGTTAGACATCTGCTGCTGCATCCACAGCTTTTTTAAAAATCTGCAGGGAAGCTAATACAGATTTGTATGGCTCCAGAAATATGATAATTCTTCCAATAACAAAGAGTGGGTATTAGCAGGTGTAGGTTTTATCCATCCATGTGTTCATAGAGCCAACAAGAAGGACTCTAGTGAACATGGATGCAGAAAAAAAAACCGTGGCAATGAATGATGAACACCATCTTAGAACACAGAATCCAGTTTTTCTTCATAATTATTTGGTGACTCATTACTTTTCATACAATACCACCATTGGGACAAATTTAACATTTTTGGTGCAGCTCTGAACAGCAAAAATCATAATGTACAGAGAAACAGTCTGTGCTCTATAGACCTAGCAGTCTGGGAAGGACTAGCCCACTGTCTCAGACGAAATATGAGGAAGTTCTTGAGAAAAAAAAGCTGCAACACCTTATTATTCCAGATAAGGCACCACTTGTACCAAAAAATTGTTGCAATCACAAATTCTTTGGCATTCTCATGTTTATTTCCTGTGTTTGCATTGGAGCAACACAAAAAAGCCAAACCTCGTGATGTGTTATCTGACAGAAATGCAGGGGGTGCCAGCATTTGTGGCCATGACTGTATTCCTCAGAAGACAAAATGCACTTTGGAGACGGTCCCTAACTTAAGCTTGTCCTTGTCCCTGCACACTGTCGCCTCGAGTTAGGTTTTCACAGGATCGGTGGTAAAATGAAACCTATGAGGCATATAGCACGTCTGATGTGAACTGAACTTTTCACTCACTGGTTTGTCTGGATTAAACTTGCGAAATGCCTGAATATCCGACGTCAAGCTGTCTTCACAACCGTACCGTTATCCTGGCTGTCAAATAGCTCAGCCAGCGTCAAT